AACGCGATTGCGAAGTGTTGAATCGGAGAATTTCTAAATATCATTTTTATAACCGCTTTAACTCGACTGAATCAGAAAGAACCTCTTTAAATTATTTTTTAAACTCGTTCTCAGTATTAAATTAAAATGCAAAGTTCGCCGAGTCTACGATCAGCTAGCGGTTAACTTGCAAAATAATATTATAGACAATTTTTAAATATTTCTCTTGCATTTATTTATTTAGTGATTCACATGAAATATTATACAGAAATAATGATAATATTTCGCAAGATTTAAACAGTATTTATTTGTGTGAGATAAACTATGCAAAATAATGCGATCCGTCCGTAGATATATCTAAATTATGAGTCGTGCAATAAAACGGAATGGAGAATATTCGGAATAAAAGTAGACTAACTTAACAATATCCCTATAAGTAAAACAGAGTCGGGGTAATATGAAAAAATAATATTAAGTACCAGGGCGACATGACCACGGAGGAGCATTAATATAATAGACGTCATCTTCAAGCGTGCTCTGTTAAACGCTAATGTGTTTACTCTGAACGCCGTTACGTAGATTTGAAAAACTCAATATGGAATTAAAAATTATGAATAATCCTTTGTTTTTATAACTGACTAACTAAACATAATCTATTCAATTTTTTTCTTAAATTTCTAAAGCAAATATACATAGTTTATATTAGATTTAACTACATAATGTTTTCTATTAATGTTTTTTACTCTTTTTTATGTTATTAATATCTGTTGATTAAAAATGATATGCTTTAGAGGTATATATTAAACGGTATTCTTGATTCAAGTATCATACATGATATTTTAGCGGCAATTAAATAATAAATATGTCAAGAATTAATTTCAGATAAAAAATATTATAATCATCTGTTCCCATCAAATCAAATGACTTCCGATGTATAAGACTGATATCATCTCAAAAATATAAAGATCAAAGACATCTGTATGAAATCTCTTTATTTTAATTATTGATCGAAAGATAAACTCCTTTTTATATACAGTTCAATATCCTAGTACGGAGATGAGTTTTTTAATTTGGCATATTTTTTTTATCAAAAAGCCAACAGTTAAAGGAGTTTTTACTGGCCACTGATATAATTTTCTCTGTGTAGTCTTCTCGTATTAAAACAGTCAGAGCAGTGTATATATCAAATTTGTTGAACTAAGGATTACATTTATTAGCCACGAACGTTGAGAGGTTGCCAACTAAAAGTTTTCCACTGTAAAAGCTGGTTGATCTATACCCTTGTATGTTGGTCAAGGAAGCAAATAAGGCCGTGATAAACAGCAGTGCATTTATTTTAAACTTTAATAATTCATAGAATATTTTCGACTTACTCAACATTCAAACAAAAATCTAATAATATTCAATCATACTTTATACTCCAAACAATATGTAAGCAACAAACGACAAAACAATACAATACATTAATTATTCTTATCCCCGAATCTGCTTGAACAAACAGTATCCAATTCATGAAGACCCTCGGGCGTGCCTTATATCGCACGAGTATTAAGTTCTATATAACGCGTATGTAAAACTCATTTACTTAGCAACAGCAACAGATAAAACACATGAATCATAACCAGAGCACCGCCAAGGGAACCAAAATAAACATTAATATAGAAAAATAAATCCAACACCAACCAGTGCATTGGATACCAAAATATCAAATGAGGCATTAAATATTCGAGTTTCTATTTACTATTAAAATGAACATGTATGTATAATATGTTAGGATTAAAAGGAAAACATTTTCTGTACAAGTTAAATCGGAATTCTTGAAAGTATTACCGGTTGTTACAATTTTGATTTTGTTACGAAAACTGAATGAATGAAACTGAAAGAATGTACTAATATATTAAATGTACATTCAAAGAATCGTACTTTATAAGAGCGATTTATTTTAACTAAAATTTTATAAACAAAATTTATTTACGTTAAGACTTTCACTTTGTATAATTTTATACAACTATATAATTACAGCGATGTTTAAATTGAAATTTACTGAACAATCACTAATAGACGTTACGAAAGCCAATCGATTGTTATTAGTTCGTTTTTAAGGATTCCCAAACACATTGATATTTTAAAAAGAAGTTTTCGAAGTCGCTGGTAATATTAATATTCATCTCAATGTATGATCATGATCGAATGAAATTGAACCAACTATCCAGAGACGGAGCACGAGCTCAAGCCAATCTACATTATAATTTCATTATCTGAATGGTACACTGTATGAGAACTGGTATTTTGGAACGTCCAGGGAAAAAATCGATCCACACAATACGATTGTATGAAGAATATAGAACCTTTTTGCAATAGGCCAGTTTATAGGTTGGATTTCCTTTCACCGATGTTTGCGGTCTTCCCGATGACCTATTTAATACTAGAACGTTGCATCAATCCTGGGCTTTGTAACGCGATAATCACTTTGAACTAAACTCTCGGTTCCCACTCAACGATGACAGTTATTGAACAAACAGATTATATAAAACTTTGAATTAATAAATCTGAAGTAAATTTATTATTTTTGGAGGAAAAATAGAATTGATAGGGACAATTTTGACTTTATATTTTATTTAAATTTAAGATTTAATCACGGGGTATTTTTACTGATGGCTCTTTGTAACTTCGAATAACAACAACAAAAAAAAACGTAATTATTCCGTTTGAACGACTTTAATGTTTGAGCCGTGAGCCATGAGTACGGGAACACAAATTAACATTTCACTTGATAAAGTTACTGTGTAATGGCGTTTGTTATAATGATTAATTGCTGGTTTGGCGATCCACAGGGTTAGGGAGAAGGTCGTAGGTTGGAAGGCGAGGGAAGGTCACCGCATTCAATCTTTATAATCTATTGTTAAAATTTCATCAAATCAATGACACACGTTTTTATAAAAGCAAAGAAATGTTTTGTTATAATAAGGAAACATATACATTTTGATTAAAACTTAAATCCTATGAAATTCCCATGAAAGGAATGAAAGGTACACCTTTAGATTTATTTATTGGTTGTGGTAAATAGTTTAAAAACTGAACCCTTCCAACGTCAATATGCGAAAGGAATTCGTCGTAAAGTTAATAGAGAAAAATATTTACGTCGCATCAAACCGTCGTGTACGGGAATCTTGAATAAAGAATGATGCCCACAAACACGATCGTAAATTCTTAGTCTTTCAAAGGAGTGCATTGGATGAAGTGATCGGAGATAAAAAATGTCAGCGGAGCTCCGACATTGCTGAAACTATTCTGTGTGTTTAATGCAGATATATATTCCGTGGCTTGTCTAAAGTCTAAAATCCCATGCACAATATCTTTGCAGTATTGAAGGTATTGTGAGATTTTTTTAACCAAAAAATATCTATATTTTATAACAAAGTATTTTGAGATACTAAAACTAGAAGTTCTATAAAGAAATTCAATTTAAATAACGCAAAACAGTAAATGTAATTCATTAATAAAAGTATTGAATTATTTTAGGAAATTAGAGATTATAATGAAATATATGTTTTGGCTTGTACAAAACACTTGTATGGAATTAAATATCTCATATGTTTATTAAGAATGTAAAAATGTATGTTGACGCTTAAATTTAACCATGAAGTTAACCATTCATACTTTGGAAGCGGTTTTATAAAAAACATAACAGTATGAAACCAAACAATACTTTTATACTGTACATATATATCAAAATGGTTAATTATCTTTAAGAAAATTAGACAAAACTCTTCAAGAAGGTCAGTGGTGAGATACAATAAGCGTTATAAGCTATTTATAACCATAACCAGTAAATAGAACTCTCAGAGGTAATTAACAATTACTAAATGCTGTAATAAGCATGCAAATTACATTAGTTCTTCAAAGCTAAATTAATACCCAGGGTTAGAATCTAAGATGGTTACTACAGACCGCTGTAGCTCTGCTCATTCTATCTAATCCCAAAATCCTTACAGATAGCTTGCAGCAGGGGATCATGCAATGGTTGCCATCTAATGTAAAGGATAAGGGCGTATTAATATTGTGTAATAAAGGTCATTAACCTACAGATATATTCATTAATTAACTTTGATATGAATGAAATATTCATTGAAAACTGCACTTGAAAAAATATAAGTAAATTTATTATGACACAAACCACATAATCGTCAAAAAATTTGGAAATAAAAGCAATGACAATGTAGAACATGTTTTAATAAAAAAATATACATATATTTTTAGGTATTTCAAATAACATTTAGTACTTAGATCATTCAAAACCAAATTATCTTGACCTGCATACATATTACGAACAGGTTAAGCAACGGGTAAAACCCGACAAATAATTATTCCCTTCGGGATTAAAGTTGCTGTTTCGGTACACTTATTTGTTTAAACAAAATTACAGAACTTTTTTCACACACTTTAAATACCGTTTTAAATATGAATAAATATAGCATAGAAAATTTCCATTTTAGTACCATCAAATTTACTTTGAATCCATATATTATTTTAGAGCCAAAATTCTTTTAATATAAGAGCAATGCTATTCGTTGTGTCTGATACAAAGATATCTGACACTGATGACACTGCTGACACTCATGACACTCCTGAGTTTCTGCATAATGCATGAATTAGCCCACGATTTATACTCCGTGGCACCGGTAAATTGTGACGTTCGCGAAATTAATGATAATGAAAACTGTGTGTGTCTCATAATTTACATAAACTAACACGTCATTCTCACAGCGGTATGTATGAACACCATATTTCGTCTAATCTTTTATGTGTTATATATAGGTTTAATATAACAATTTTGGAAACTAGTTTCAAGCAACGCAATACTAACTTTAGATTGTGAATTTTTGTAATATGTATTATTGGTATCTCACTCATACCCTAGATGGAATCAAATAAAATTATTAAGTCGTTTTTGCTCTCAATACATCCGTGGGAAGACAGACAAACGACCCTAAATCAATTCTTATTTTCCTAGGACTCACCTCGTTAGTGTTCCATCGATGCCTCTGCGCAGCAAAATGCTCCGCTCGTGGTAGGCTTTCCAAATTTTCCGGTAACTTGATAGGTTCTCCATCTGTAGACAAATTAAGAAAGTTTAAAGAAAAAGAATTTCATTTCTCCGAATAAAACCCTAACAAGTTTTTTAAATAAATTTACAAAGAATTTGGTTTCAAACCAGCCATAAGCGGACTTAAAAAAGAAATTTTACAGCTGAAATGTTTTTAAATCCCCGCATATTTTCAGAGAGGCCGTTCCATTTCATGTAGTTATACAAGATACATGGTCAGTAGCACATAAATTATGCAGGAACAGTGAGAGCTAAACCACATCGTATATATAGTGCTTTCTACAAAAATAAATAGAAAACCAGCATTACCCAAAACCGGGCAAAAAGTAAAAATGTCTTACATGTTATCCGCTAACCACGATCGGACAAAATTAGTGGGCGCTCAAGCAAAAGCTTAACTTGCGAAATTTCTCCCCTCCTGCAAGCCTTACAAAATTCTGTTTACTATCCCCGTATCTAAGAATTAACGAAAATAATCCTAATCCCTGAGGCATAAGAGCTAAAAGGAACCGAGATGAGCGCAATCCAAATTGGCAACTCCGTATACCGGACGGCGACGGAATTTCAACAAGTTGGACCATTGCTACGGATTTCATTTGTAATTCTGCCTTCATTGGGTTCTTATCTCGAAGGAATAAGGTTCATTTGAGAGTGCGTAATTCGGCTTGTTTAAGCCAGTACGCTGGTTGCAGTGCAGACATTCTTGACGAATGTTGCCAAAAACCTGGCCGTTTTCACCTCGTTCCTACTCGCTTTATTGTTTTCACGGTACCTTGGCATGTCCTGTTTTAATATTAGCACACGTTACAGGTTAATACCGGAACAGTTTACCATACCGTTTGCGTTTACACGCTATGAAGATATTACTTATTGTTTTTATATATAAATCTTTTAAACATTATAATTAATACATATTTAAAACATATGCCTTTCACATCGATTTTTTTAAGACCTTTGTATCGCCAATTAATTAATCTCCCTTTACACATGCAAAGTATCATATTTTTTGTATTTTAATTACTCAAACGGTAACATTTTTATAAAACCCTCATTGATGTCAAAATAGCCTGAGATATAATTACATACTTTGGAATGCGAATGGTTTTCGATAAAGTGGAACCGTTGAAAAGTATAAAACAGAATTCACCTTAAAAAGGTAACAGGAGCGCTTGGGTCTGACGAGCATTCCGACGGGATTCAGAAACGAGCTCACGTAGATCGTGCTTTATTATTCCGTACCTTTTCAAATACAAAATTAACGAATCCTTATGCCCCATAGTAAGTACTTTATAATCACTCAGACGATGACGTACTTAACATTAATCATATAAATCACGATAAATGAAACTATCTAAGCATTTATTCAAGAAAAATACCCTGAAAAAATGCTAACAATTCTCCACATAGCCCATTTCGGTAGGAAGAGCGTACATGACTAATGACGTCACTAACGAACAGTCGCGACACCTATTGTTCTCACCCGAGAGGCGATTTGAAGAGGGAATCTTCTTTGTTTTACATAACTCGGTTTCCTCGGTTTTTTATTCTAATGGACACGCTGAGTCCGCTATATTCGACGCTTGGTAACATGCACCGAATTCTCTACGTAACAGGTTACGGTTTTATAGGTTTTTCCGCTAACCTGATAGATATCAAACACAAAAACCGAACATATATTATGAATAATTATATCTGTGTGGATTAATATATTACGGTGTGATTAATAGTATAATTTTAATTATGATATAAAAAGCACTAGCCTGCATATGGCGGGATGCTGAAAATAATTATGTTATAACAATTGTGTCCTCAAATTTAGCATCAAATACCTACCCGGATCATAACATAAAAACCAACGAGCGTATTGAATTTATAAATACTGCCTAATCCCCGAATTATTATAATATTGAACTGATATTGTAGCGCTTCTCTTACATCTGTGTATTACATTTTAGCAACTATACAATGAAATATTAATATTTTTCTATAAAATACATGTAAATAAAGCATAATTATCTTATGACTATAAAAACAAAATACTTCACCAATAGATGGCGTTGCATGTCGTTTCCAATATGGAGTGCTCTAACACTATCAGCTGGTAAGTGACATATCACATTACAGTTACTCTAAAAACTTTATCGAATACAATTTATTGATAAACGTATCGTTATCTCCTTTAATATGATACCTTTTATTTTTTATAATCTCGTACACAGAAAAAAATAAGTTCTGTTTATAGAGTAACTTTTGATTATAATGAAATTAAGAACACTTTTTCTTTAATATTAAGATTTGTGAGAAGCAAAAACTATGCTAGTCGAAGATTTGACACACTGGCATTGACATTTAATTTAATAGTTTATGTAAATTTTTGCTTAGAATGGTAGCAAGAATAGTGAGCTCTGATGTCATAAAAACAAAATCACTACTAAAAATATCTCCATAACATCAAAGTATTTAAAATTAAAAATTATGATATATTTTGAAGCATAGATAATTATAAAAATTTGTAATATTTACTCAATAATATGTTTTTAGATAAAATAAAAAAATATGCCGTGTGATTTATATTATACAGTATTATAATTATTAAAAGGTTGATATAAAGAAAAAAGTTTTGATTTACCACATTAACTTTATTACACAATTCACCTACGCGTTATTTACACTAGTGTAAAAAAAAACAATTATTTCACTCAATTGTCAATAAAAAATAAATGCGTTAACATTACTTCTTTATTATACACAATTTTTTAACAATAAATACATAAAATTTATTTAATAAAAAATAATAAAAGTATAAAATATAAATAATAATAATGTACAATATTTATATTAATCTGAAAACATTTGTTAGAAAAAAATACAAGTTGGAATACATCCCAAGTTTTTAATCTGAAACTCCATTCATCCATTGCCCTCACTATGTCAAAATTGGCGCCATTTTTATTTTTTAATCCCATTATCACCTAACACTATGATTCATCATTTGTCTGCCAATGTCCAAATCTGATCTGAAGCTTTTCATTCTTTATTTGTACATTTAAATAGGATAATAATTTTTAATAAATTATTTATTATTGATTTCCTTTAATAAAAACATAATTTATTATAGATTTATATTATCTATTATTTGTATACGACCTTCATGGTTATATGATAAATGCAAGTCACGGTCTAAGTACGGCTATACTTGCTCTAATTAATTATCTTAATATTAAAAATGTACTTAAAACAACGCGGTCACCGCATCTTAACATTGAAACGAAATTATGATTTCACGTATAATAAATAAGAAATTTAAATAAATATATTATTATGTTTAATATATATTTAAAATACGATTTTGTTCTCTTAATTGATTCTCGTATTTCGATAAATGTTTTGAATGTTTTGTATCTGAATATTATATAAATGTTCTTGAAAATGTTAATTAAAATAATATGACCTATTTTATTATTCCTACTGCACCTTCTTTTTATCTTTAGGTATAAAGAGGTATACGAACTTCTGCAATAGTTCAGTGAAAATCATTGTTCCTATAAAAACTAGCAGTGTGCCGATCCAATGTCCGAACGTGAATGGATTCCTGAAGTACAGTATAGAGAAGATCAGGGAAACAAATTTACGTAACGTGACCGTTAAAGTTACGACTAGGGACGCGCATTCCGTAGTCAAAACGTAAACCGCGCTGATGCACAGCCCTTGAGTCATGACATATAAAATCAGCCATAGAACTTGTCTTGGTAATGAGAATCCTAGAAAATCGACTAGCGGAGTATCCATGGCCAGTTTGATATGGCTTATCAAGTTCGGCGCGGTCGGCAACCATATAACTAAAGGTAACAAATGAGCATAGTACAACGCTTCCCAAGGATGCTTTCCATACTTAGAGTATAGTGACTCCTGGAATATTCCCATACGAGCTGATATAAACAACGCGAACGTTAAAATCCCTATTCCCAGACACCACCACAGCCAGTCAATGAACTTTAACTTTTCTTCCTCAGCCGCGTCTTCGTGTGTCTCCCGCGGCGCCTTCACCTCGCCACTCGATTGTATCGTACATATAGCTATACCCGCTGATATCATGAAGATAGCTAAGTACTTCAGCGCTGGATACTGCTTCTTTAATATCCAAACACCCATCGCCATGTTTGCCATGAGCGAGCCAGCCCGGAATATCATGTGAAGTGGCATCGATATATTGAAATCGAATGCATAATTATTAGCTACGCTACTCGTCCAGAAGAATCCGACCAGCAATAGATACTTCTTGAATGGTATGTGCCTCTTGGCTGTACCGAATTTACCAACAGTACAAAACCCGCCGGCGGCTATAAACAGGAATTGAAGGAAAGTCGCCAAATTACCAGCACCGGGATCCTCTTTCACAACCAGCTCCAAAAACACCACGTTGGAGCAACATCCCACAAAAACCATGCCAATGGCAAGCGCCGCTTTAATATTCATTATGAATCTGAAAGAAAAATGTAAAATATTGCAACATTATTACATAAACAAAGCGGAATATCTAAACCTCAAATAACACGACTCGGTAATATAATTACTACAATAATGACATAAAATGACTAGGAAGTTATTTAATCTCAGATGATTAGAGTAGCAAGATAATAATATATTCAATCATAACCAAAAATTAAACTTACAAGAACAACTAAAACCATAAGGAGGCTTTTGTTACATTTAAGCGATAATATCGCCTAAACGCTCATTAACACGTAATATTAATATAAAATAATGGTCAATGTACTTACGTTTTCAACACTTTTCACATTAATCTTAAATAAATACTAAATTCACAATTTAAAACACATTATGACAAGCCGCACGTTTGACAGCAGTGGCTAATGTATTTGTGTGTGTTGATGACAGACTGTATAAGTAGTAGTGACCGTGGCCCCGATAGTACGCATGCTCACAACGGCTGTAGATAAAACAGTACGACTCCGATATTAGTAAACAGATGGCGCTGTTTATAATAATTGCTACCAAACTTATACAAGTGAAAGGTTTTTGTTATTATTTTTTGCCGCGCGTCACTATAAAAACTTTTGTAATAAATTTACATATTACATACGTTTATTTGCAGCTTCTTTCTTATAACGAACTAATATACTTAATCCATTTATCTTGCTTTTTACATAGTAACAATAAAAAATGTACGGAACCTGTATCTGATATTAAAAGGGTCTGGAGAGATAGGAGGCGATTTATTAAGGCTTTATTATCATAACAATAACTGGGGACGCTTACAAAAATAGGTCTTTATATAACGGGGGTTTTGTGCTAAGGCGAGGCATTTTTCGATTTCGTATTTGATCCTTGAATACAATGAATTATATTTTAGAACCACAAAAGTTTTATCGATTTCACTGAAGATATTTTTTAATATGACAAGTTTTATTAAAGCAAGTAATACATACCACCTACATTACTTCATTATTAACAGATTTTTGCTGATTGGTAAATACTTGAACATGACAATGAGTTTTGATCTCGTCTATTAATTTTAAAATTAATCCTTTATTACACCTCAACTTTCGTCCTCCGTCTATCGCATGTCGTGTTACAGCCAGTCACGGAGTGAGGATAAAGTAATAGACGCCTGGTAGACCATTCGTCATGTAGCATTTATAGTTCCAATGATTCCCTTAAGTGTCTTCTGTATTTGTGTTATGATCGATATCCTTCACACAAGTTCGTATCGTCACACTACATACGAGTTTTATTAATGAAAAACTGGAAATGCTTCGTAGTACGGCGATGCAAACTTTTGGTAAATGCAGTTATTTGGACAAATTTAATTCTTATATTGTAGGACTGGAATTACCATCAAATTGTATATTTAGATATCTTAGCTTGTTATAATTAGCTGCTGCTTTCTAATTATTAACTTAAATATTAAAAACGGTATTTCGACCAAAACTAAATTGAATAATTTTATAAAAAGTTTCACTTTACGTGTATAAAGCCAAACCACATTATAAATGAGTCTTTGAATTAATTTTGTAAACTATATAAACTGAAATCTAACAAAACAAATAATGACAGTAGCCTTACATTTAAAATCTTTTACAGCTAATCACGAATCAATAACAATCTGTTCATAGTATATGTACTTATATATACACTCATTATTCACATCTCCCTATCGATGGCAGCACAATGTATTCTTTACATATTTACTCTATATTTTCTTTCCTCTCTTCGAATATTATCTGTGCTATTCCTTTTGACATCTGGCAGACATGTTACATTACATTTGTTTTAATATAATCTATGCACGTGTTTGCACAGATATGCAATGAAATGACTGAATTACGTTTTTATTTGACAAATTTTTTGTTCGTAAAGACATCTAATAAAATGCTAGTTTCTTACGAATATTTATTAAGCAACTCAGCTCTCTGTTCGTGACTTGAAAACCTGTGATGTGTAATGAAGGTAAATTGTACAATTCCATGAACGCTTCCTTTAGTTACAAATCTATTTATAAAGACTACATAATTTATATAAATAAAATACATAATTATTACGTGTCACGTATAATATAGTTGTTTACGTATATGTTATGAGATTTTTTTTATTAATAATTTTTTTTATATTTGTTTACTTTTTCCCTGTGACAGAGAAAACCTTTTTCTAAATGTTTATTGTCATGTCTATAAAATATTTTAATTTTAATAAATCGAATAACATCACGTTATTGAATAACATAAATTTATAAGATCACATTAATTAATGGTCGAATTAAGTCACGAAAATAGAATATTACCTAAAAATTTTCTAAATTAAATTAAGTGTTTTAACTCACACGTTTATTGAAATAAATGAAATTCATTGTATTATGTCTGAAATTATTAATTAATGAAAACAAATATATTTTTGTTTGTTTTTTTATTTACAAACGAAATAACATAACGATATCATAAAGCATCAAACACGGGCATCGCATCGTGTGACATTAGCGAGTGTATCACCTCTCTAGCACATAAGGGCCATATTACCGTCCCCACGCCGGTTGCATAACTGTCACATCCGTGCTATAACCGTTGGTGTAATTCAATTATTCCGGCTCGTTGCACGCGACTAACGACCTTATGGATAGACTCGTAGACGTGTTATAACGATTTGAGAAGTTAGCCAATATAATGTACAACATATGGACCTTGCCTCTTTAAATATTTGTGTAAATCAATATAAATACCTTTTTTTTAAGTTTAATAAATTATATAATATTTTATAATCTCTTTAAATCTTATTATTTGCCAGCCGATTTCAGCCGATGATAGCCGATTGTAATCGAAGATAGCCGATATTACGAAGAGAAATTTTAAAAATAACAACTACATTCTAATATGACTCAAATATGTGTAAACGAAGGCGGACCCTTATTAGAAATATTGTATAATACTCATTTTATAGACAACTTTACCTCAGACACAACGAGGGACACTTTTCATTCCCCTTTCGCTTATGTTATAAATATTAGTTAGACGGATTGAGAAACAAGTCCATTCCCATTTGAATACAATAATCATGTACATTTTTAAAAGTTTATACAGTGCGCTAACTACAAGTGTACATCTTTAAACTATCCACGGACCGTTAACAGTGTTCATTCATGAATCTTGAACGCAAAGAATTAACCACAAAGGAGCGATTAATAGGTTTTGTGAGAAAGCACTAGGGCAATAAAATCAAACGTCGAGCCTTGCTCTATCCTTAAAGCGGCTCCGGTTTGGACTATAATGATGAATACGAATGAGAAACAATACAAAATCCCAGAGGATATATATGCGTGAGCGTCCCGACCAGGCATATTTCTGTATTCGCAAATTTTAAAGCGTTTTGTGATAATAGAGCTTACAGTTCCTTGGGAAACCAACATCCCCAAAGACCATGCCATCAAGGTCAATAAGTATTACGAGCTCCCTAACGAACTCACTAGAAATAGGCTTGTTGTAAATTTATAACAGCTAAATCTGTCTACAATCTACTAGAAGACTTAGACCTGCCCAGAACTTACATCAATTCATTTTTAGATCGTGCTTCGCAGGCAGCCCTAGTAAGTAATAGGTTCGTTTCAAATTTGGTTAGAATAGAAGGGAGCTTGGACGGTGGAGGTGAGCGTATAACACGCGGTAGATAGGGCCCCTTAAACCTATACCTGGGTTGCAAGTCCCAGTCACTGTTGAAGCTCCTCTCTCTACAACGATGGACCCGACACCCGCACGGTGAATACCTTGAATACTGAGAAGTTTAAAGTAGCAAACTTGTATTAAGAATACAAGTTAATTCGTTGATGAAATCTAAAATTTAATCATAATGACAGTTTAGATCAGTCCGCGTTGAATTTTTAATTAGTATACTTTAAAATAAGGCTCTTATCTATGAACATTTTCTAGTTGAAGTGTGTTTTTTAATCTTATTAAAACATTTATATAAAATGCTATCCAAATCCAAATTAAACCGGTTTAAACTGGATTCGGTTCTCAATTTATTTAAGTCGACGTTTTGATTATTCTGCAACATTCGTGTTCACGGAGAAGCTAGATGGCTCGAATAATTCAATGTTGGATAGTGTGTTCTTTTATTATAATCGTTTATCTATTTGGCATAAATATTTTGATAGGCTAACTTGAAGTAAAATGTTATCTTTTAATGATAAATACAGCGTGATAAGGCGTTAGTATTTTACAACTTGATCAGGACTATATTAAGATTAGGTTGTAAAAGTATATGTCTTTAGATAATTTACAAACTTCATTTATATTATTTACAATAGAGTCTTCACTTTACGACCGTAATTTTAAATTTTAATTGTCATAGTAATTGTTGTAAGAGATATTATTGTAGTTGTTTTTATGATTCAATGGTTGACGATCTAAATATACACAAACTGCGTAGTTGAAAACTTCAGCCAAAAAGTATTGTATATAGACTTAGAACATTAAAATTTATGTCTCATATTATTTAATTTGCATATATTATTTAATGATTTTTCGAATTAAATAAGTTGTTATCAAGAGAAGTGAGATGCACAGACAGATCCGGATACGATGCCGAAGAAATCATAGAATTAGCGATTCCTTATTGTTTTAAAAATCATGAACATTTATGGTGCAAAGAAAACTCGAGCATCTTCATATATATTAACTTATAATTTGTGATATTTTTTATTAATAAACGTTGTGAAAATGCAATGAGACAAAAGTATAAGAAAAACGAAGTAAGTAAACAAATCGCCTGTTTAATTAATACTGACACACAAACACCTTTATCTACATTAAATTTATCTCTGTTTGAGCAGCCGTTGTACGCTAAATTTTAATAATTCCTTCAAGATCACATCTTATAGATGCTGTTAAAATAAACATGATATATTAAAACAAAATTACATAAATAAACGCAACAAATTTAAAGTATTTCTTACTTTTTATTCGACA